GCCTTTTTGCCTCAGTCTATTTACAAAAAGGGAAGGCAGACTTCCTGTTTTGAACTTCCCCGCTTCGATACCAAATTATACATTTAAAAGTCTAATTCTCCCGTTCCAGCTCTACTCACGGGTAATTACTTTAGATTCAAATTGTCCACAGGAAAAAGTCAGCGCTCTCCGGCAACAGCTATGTGGCTTCGCTCTGTGAAAAAAGCAGACGACTCGAAGCACCGCGCCACTCACCCCACGTCGCTCAGGAACCCCGAAATCGGGTTTCCCCGCGAGTAGGGGAGGCGCAGAAGGTGCCCGCCAAATCCCACGTTCACAGGCTTCTCCCGCCTGTGATTTTTTTCGGGTCTCCGCCTTCGCCGTAGCGGCCAGACCCTGTTTTCCACGGGGCAAATTCCTCCTGTCAGAGGAATTCCGCCATTGCCGATGGCGCTAACCCGGAAGTCCCACTATTTTTACTTCTTTCCTGAACATCACTTTTGCAAAATTATAGGTGCCCAGGGCCAGCCTTGTGCCTGCTGCATGAAGGTGACATTGTGCCATCGCCTCAAAGGGGGCTGATAGGGCAGCTGGGAAATGAAGCTACAAATCATCAGCCAGAGCTGGGAATTCCATTTCAGTTTGTCTTGCTCAACTTGTTCGGATTTTATTTTCTGTGCAGTTTTATCAATGCAGTTTGAAAGCTGGATGGAGAACCTTTTTCCTGCTGAGGGACACCTCCTGGCCACAGCCTATGCGGAGATACCGGTACATTGCATTCCTATTGAAATGAGAGTAACAGGGTTGAATCCAACTAAGTTCTGTTCAAAGTAGACCCACAGAAATGAATGAACTTAAGTTATGTCATGCCTATTAACTTCAATGGGTCTACTCTGAGGAGGACCAATGTTGGCTACAACCCATGATTGTTATGGCTTGTCTCCAGTGCTAGTCCTACACAGAGTAGACCTATTGAAAACAATGAACATGACTAACATCCATGAATTTCAGTGGGTCAACACTGAATAGACCCCAATATTTGTACCACACATAAATTAGTAAATGCAGTTTTGATGCAACTCTGCATTCTCGTTTGTCCTTTTGTCCAGTGATGGATTTCCTCGTGGGTTTTTTGGCGATGCCTAAGTGGCCACCCAGAGGCAGACGGTGGGATGCCGGCACCCAGGACGGGGCAAGTGTTGTGCCCCCTTGGTGGATGGGGCGGCTGGGGTGGAGGCCTTGGAGGCTGCCCTGCTCCTTCCTCCCTTTCTCTCACCTTGTCCCAATCCACCCTGGAGGTGCCTTGTGGCCAAGGAATGGCACTGCTGGTGGGACAAGGAGGCAGCTGGAGCACCTGGCAGGAGAGGGAGGGAAGTGAGCAGGAAGGCTCAAGTTACACCCTCCTGCTTCTATTCATGCTGTGGGACCTAGTGACACCTGTCACGCAGCATGGCTGACTGCTGGGAGAAGCACCCCATCAGCTCCCACCACTGGCCTCTTTTGTTTATCCAAGCTCTCGCCCTGCAAGAACTGGCTGGGTGCCAGGCGGCCTCCTATCCTCCCCTATTTCCATGGGCTTCCGGCCTGCTCCCTCCCTGGGAAAAACTTCTCTTGGGGCCCCTCCTGCCCCCATGACCGACTCTTCCTCTCCCTCTCTCTCTTTTCTGTGGCTCCATGCTGTGGTTCTAAAGACAACAAAGTACATATGCTGCGTGACGGGTGTCACAACAAAGTACATATCTTCCTCCAGTATCTTAAAACGTGTACACCCGTTAGAGAGCTCTTTGATCCAGCAGTTCATGCATTTTCTAAATAGATAAATAAAAGCAACAAAAGCATTTTTCTTTATTTATTAATAAAAATAAAGTATTTTTTTTGTTTAAATAATTTTGACCCCACTTTTCCAGTTCAAAGGTATTATAAAAAAACAGATATACTAAAATTATAATGCCTAGCATTAAGTATGCAAATATTTGCAAACCACTAAAACCTGAGAAACAACAATAAATCTCATACACATGGTTGCATTCCCATAAGTATGTATGTCTAACCATCTTGCTGGTATGTCAATGTGATAATTATAGTTTGGGGTTGCTTTGCAAATCTGTCCAGCCCATAGACCTGATGATTGGTGCAGCCGGACTTGGAGACTGGACATATCTTGATGCTAATAGAGGTTCACCTTCCTCCCTTCCCCCAAGTTTCTGTAGCAACAGCATGAACTAATTAGCCCTCTGGCACTTGGTAATGAAAGTTAATAAACACCTCATGGGGCTTCAGGAGCAAACAGGCCCTGAACAATGGGGGGGGGGGGGGAGAGCCAAAGGAAGTCAAGAACAGCGGAAGCAGAGAGGAGGAGAAGCCACAGGCAAAGTTGGGGCCACACCACCAGAACTGGCCTGCGGCTTCTGCTGGAGGGGCAGTGCCAGCACCCTGCGATGCACACTGGAGGCTGCTCCATTAGGGCAAATGAGGGACTGATCCACTAGTTCCTGGTTATGGAGGGGAATGTGTTGGGAGGCTGGTGCAGAGACTTGCTCTGCTGCTGCCTATGCCCCATGCCTTGATGCTCCTCCTGCTGGTACAGACACCACATGGCTAAACCATAATATGTGAACAAGATCCAACTGTAAACACAGATTGTTGTCATATTTATTTCTGATAGCTATGTCATTCCTGTTTTGGCTAATATTCCCAACTTTGTGTCCTACAATGAGGACATATCTTAACCCCTAAGGAAATGTACATACAGATACACAATAATCAAATTTTTAATTCTTTGGTAGCAGATGGGCTGCATTTTCCTAACCTTTACCTCTTTCCAATGTGCAAATGGTTAAGATTATAATGTTTAACATTTTCTCTTGAAGTTTTATGTGCATATAAAACATTCTGCAGGAATGTACTTTTGAATACAAAATTTGATCCAATTACAGTTTTACTAGGACTTAAAAACCATAGCCAGGAGTCTGTTTTTAGGGAGTTTTAGAATGTTGTGGCCTTTCCAGTAAATTCTAAAGCCCTTGTGGTTAAATTGCCTTGTGACTTTCTTCTGAGATTAATCTCTTGAATTCGCATGCAAATGTGCCAATATTTCAGTCCAAAATTCTGTTAGCTTTCAGAATGCGCTAATGAACACAGGAAAAACAAACGGGTACAATATTTTCTCCAGCTGTAAGCAATTGCTTATGGAGTCATCTCAACGGGCCTGACAACAAGAAAAATCTCTAGTGGCTGAATTGGAAGTGAAATGCTTCATTGAAGAACTAGCAGCGTTGCCTCTCTAGAAAAAGTTAGAAACCTGCTTTGAAGAAACCTCTCTCTCATTGCATGCAGAGCTTGCTTCTACATGCCGCCTTTTGGGCAGAGCTGTTGCAGAAGCTCTGCAGAATGTTGTAGAAGAACTGCAGTTGCCGTGCAAACCAACCTCATGGATCTGGAATCTGCTGGAAGGAGCAGCCCCTTGCTGGGCTTAGGCAGAAATAGCTGTGCCCCAAAGGAAAGTGCAGGCTGTGTGCTGCTTGTTGGATCACACACACTCCAATACTCTTCAGATGAAAATAGGGACATTTCTCACTCCCCTCAACCCCCCAGAGCATTTCCTGTCAGAAGAAGGGTGAGTGCCGCCACCACCACCCCATGGGACACAGCGCACACGGCCTCCACTGTCCTGAGAAAACCCCTTAATCCTGATTTTATTTTATTCTTTGGTAGATTCACAAAAAGAAAAACACACACCAATAAATACATTTTAGAAAGGGGCAATATTAGATGCACAATAATGCACAAAGCATATATATATATATATACACACACATATACACAGAATCAAGACTCCTTTCTTCCGTCCCAGGGTCTCCCTGCCCTCTGCCTGCCCCTCGGAGCCAGTGTGTCCTGCAGGGCTGGACCTCAGTGGCAGCAGCCTCTGCTCCTTGCCCCCTCTCCTGCAGCCCCTAGGAGCTGCCCAAGGGAGGAGGCCTTTAGTTAACTTAAAAATGGTTTACTTACAAACTCTACAGTGGTCAGATTCATGTGCTTTTCCACACAGCATTCAGAAAAGTTGTACAGGCAATAAAACCTGGCTTAGTTACAGTGGTGAAAATTTGTAAATTACCGGTATTAGTATAGGAACACAAGAATGGCTTGCAAGAGCCATGTGGTCTGAGCTGCAGCAACCAGTTCAAAGTCTCTTCACAGGTTAGAATCATAGAATCATAGAATCATAGAATCATAGAGTTGGAAGTGACCACAAGGGCCATCGAGTCCAACCCCCTGCAAAGCAGGAAACACCATCAGAGCACTCCTGACATATGGTTGTCAAGCCTCTGCTTAAAGAGCTTCTTTGGCAGACTGGAGGAGAATAATAGGCCTGATTACCTAGTTCTTCCCAAGGGGAGCTAAGCCTGGCAGGACAGCCTGCTCTATGGCAGGAGCCCTGACTTGGGCCCCAAGTTATAGGGGCCCAATGGCATAATGACATATGACACAATGTGACGTCCTGACACCCTGATGTCACGTTACATTGGTGGCACAGCAGTGCTTTCGAGGCCTTGCGAGAACTTCAATGCAACTTCCAGTTTCTACTGGAAATTGTGTTCCGAGGCTTTGTAGGGCCTCGGACATCATCTGGGAGGTTGCGTTGGGGCTCTGATGTGACTTGCAGTAGAAACTGGAAGTCACATCGGAGCCCCATGTTGTGGGTGCCCTGCAACCCCAGGCCCCCTAGAACTGGCACTTATGCTCTATGGTCTTAACCCCTTCATGTATCAATTAGACTAAAACATGTGGGTTATATGAGGCTAGTTATCCCACAAAAATAACATAGAAAAATGCATTAGATTGGGGAAATGTTATTTGCAAAAAATTGTATATTAGGGGAAATCCACACTAAAATGTGAACTTGTATGTAGACTTTTACCCCAAAATTCTGCAAACTGATGTGGAAATGTAGAGAAATGAAGACTGGAAAAATTACAGAAACATTGAATGGTAGGAGCTGGAAGGGACTATGAGGGTCATCTAGGCCAACCCGCCTCAATGGGACTCAAACCCATGATCCTGAGATTAAGAGCTTAATGCTCTACCAACTGAGCGATGCCAGCCCATTTAAGTGAAAAACTGAAAGACACCCAAATCAACAGATACAACCATCCCCACCTGTGGCCAATCAGATGTTGCTGGTTCACAACTCTCCCTGGCCCTGAGTATTAGGATGGGCTGGTGGGACGTATAGACAAGACTGAGCTTGATGCTCCCATGACTTGGCAGAAGAGAGCTTCCTAGGGTCCTAAAAAGGCTGATGACTCTAGTAATGACCAGATCTCCTTCCTCCTGCTGCTCTCAGCCTCCTTCTTTGAATCCATCCTTGTGTTTTTATCTGCAGCTCAGCCATGAGGAGTCCAAGAGTCCTCTGCTCTCCCTCCCGCAGTGTGATTTGAACCTGTGTAGGTGGGAAGCCCACTAAAAAAGTTTGCATTTGTTATTGGTAAGTCGAACCAGCTGGGATCTGAAGGCTGCAGATCCAGCCTCTGAGACATGCCAAATGTTGCTTTTTGGAGCCAAGTTTTTTCACAGCGGAATGGGGTTTGCTAGTTTTAACCACTTGCACACATGCACGCACGCACACATGCACACGCACGCATGCACCCCCCCGGGCTTCCATTGGCTGTGCTGAGCCTGTCCAGCTGGGCAGCAGGGCCGTCTTTACCCGGGAGTGCAAGGGGTGCGGGGCACCCAGGCGCCAAATTCTGGGGGGTGCCAGGTGCTCACCGCTGAAGCTGCCTAAGGTAACTATCTACCTGTTATGAAATAATAAATAATTTTGATCGAGCTAGAAAAACAAAATGCATATATACCTAGGTATTACCGAAATGTATACCTACTGTTTCACTAAAGGACTTTTGACTTTGTGCGCTCATTTAGCAAAGACGCTCTGCGCCAGCGGCGGCACGTGTCATTCACAACAGCGCTGTGCACACGAAAGGAACTTTTACATCAAAATATCATGTTACGTATTGCATTGAGCTGCGCTGCTATGTGGCAGCAGGGTCAGCAGCACCTTTGACACGACTGATGTTTCTCCTAAGTAGGTGCCTAAACAATACTTAAAAGTTTAAGTGTGGTGGTTGAGCAAATAAAAAAGTTTCTTTCTTTTTCCTCCCTTCTTTTGTAAACAAGAGATGAGGCGTAAGCGTGGTGTCTGAAATAAGCATAATAAAAGTTAATTTGAGGGCTAAACTAAATTTGGGGGCGCTGGGCAGATCTTTGCCCCCCCCCCCCGGCGATGCATGTGCTAAAGACTGCGCTGCTGGGGAGAAACTCCAAAGGAAGCACCTGGGAGTGGCTTCATGTAAACTCAGAAACAGCAACTTCCGCGTGGGTAGGTGGAGCCTGGCTTGAAGGGCAACTTGGATGGTTTTGAGGAGGAATAATGGCAATGATTCCAGGTGGTTGACCAGGCTGGTCACCTCCAGACTGCCAGCATTTTGTGGGAGGGTTTTAATCAGACATTTAAGGGCTCCCCCACACCTTTTGCCCTGTGCTTTCTAGGGACAGGTCCCTGCTTTCCCAGTCCATCTCTGAGCACTTCCCCCCCCCCCCATTGCTCTCCCCAGAAAACTCTGCTCTTTCATGCTAAATCGAATAAATGCTCTGATTCAGCAGGCAGGAAAAAGCAAGTTTTCAGAGGGAAAGTTGGAGGCAAAAAACCCACAAAAGCACTAAGACACATTGCTTTAAAATGCGGACCTGTGCCTTGAAACACAGCACAAAAGGAAGCCAGGATAAGAGAGCCAGTGTGGTGTAGTGGTTAAGAGCGGTAGTCTCGTAATGTGGGGAACCGGGTTCACGTCTCCGCTCCTCCACATGCAGCTGCTGGGTGACCTTGGGCCAGTCCCACTTCTCTGAAGTCTCTCAGCCTCACTCACCTCACAGAGTGTTTGTTGTAGGGGAGGAAGGGAAAGGAGAATGTTAGCCACTTTGAGACTCCTTAAAGGGAGTGAAAGACGGGATATCAAACCCAAACTCTTCTTCTTCTTCTTCTCTTCTAAGCTCTCAGTTTGCACAATTAAGGAGGATTAAATTGTTCTGTCATGGGACGCGGGTGGCACTGTGGGTAAAACCTCAGCGCCTAGGACTTGCCGATCGTATGGTCGGCAGTTCGAATCCCCGCAGCGGGGTGAGCTCCCGTCATTCGGGCCCAGCTCCTGCCCACCTAGCAGTTCAAAAGCACCCTTAAGTGCAAGTAGATAAATAGGTACCGCTTTATAGCGGGAAGGTAAACGGCGTTTCCGTGTGCTGCTCTGCTGCAGGCTCGCCAGAGCAGCTTCGTCACGATGGCCACGTGACCCGGAAGTGTCTCCGGACAGCGCTGGCCCCCGGCCTCTTAAGCGAGATGGGTGCGCAACCCCAGAGTCGGACACGACTGGCCCGTACGGGCAGGGGTACCTTTACCTTTACCTTTAAATTGCTCTGTCACCCTTGCTCCTCAACTCCACTTAATAAAAACAAAACCCCCACAGCCTTTCTGCCATTTAAAAAGTCATTAAAAAAGCGCACTGAGAAGCATGGGGTGGATAAACGATTTAAGGAGAAATGAATGAACATTGCACAGCAAATGAGGATGAGAGCACATTGTCCCATAACATCCCTGAAAACCAGTTAGAAGAAAGGCTTCGTAAGGGCTGGACATTATCTAACCTCCTTGTAAACTTTTGCAAGGAAAAGAGGATAGATGCTTAGTCGACAGACTGCCTGGAGTAGTCTTCAGTTCCTGGAGCAGCATTTCCCAGTCTGGGACCCAGATGGCTTGAACTCAAATTCCCATCATGCTGTGCTGGCTGGGGCTGATGGGATTTGCACCAGGTTGGGCAAGTCTATGCTAGAGCTAGGGAGCATTAATATTATTATCATCCTTAATTTATGAATCGCCTTCTAAACAACCACATACAGGCGAGGTTGCGCCATCTGATTTCACCTCCAGATTGCCTTTGTGTGAAGGAGCAACTGCTCTGGTCAGAGAGCGAAGGGAGTCCGATGGGCTGGCTCTCAAGAACATGGATGAACCCAGTGGCAGAGGAAGCGGGGTGTGGGCTGCCCTGGGTGTCATCACTGGGGGAGGGGGTGACAAAATGACAAAAATATAAGTTTTTTAAAAATTGGGCTCACGAAACTTTTTCATTCAGTCAACAAACGTAAAAAAACGCAGCTGGCACTGGGCGCTAGACCGCAGAGTCCAGCACTTACCGCAGGGTCTGCAGCATGCTTGAGCCACACATCTCTCCTGGGAGTGAAACAGCAGCGTAGGGCTTGCGTCTGCCCACCACATCTCCCTCAGCTGCCCTACATCTGAGGGGAAGGTGGCGGAGAGGCCCCATGCAGCACGCTCCACCCCCATGGGCAGCATGTGCCGCACCGGGCACCTGAGCAGCTAGCTATGCCACTAGATGAGCCATCTCACGAACTTCCCTTTGGGCTCCTGCCTCAACTTTCAAGGTTGGGAGGGCAAGCCAATCCCTGCTCTCTTAGGCTTCAGCTGAAACAGGAGCTGCCTTCTATTTCCTTAGCCTGCCATGCTCCCCAGAAGGGGTGTCAGGATTTTGCTTTTCTAGCCTCTTGAATATGGGCATCTGTGGTGGTGGAGGGGCCTGGAAACCACTGACTGTTTCCCAAATAGGCCTTTGCTTGGAGCAGACAGAATTCCATCTTTCTTCAGTTTTGGTTTTCTCATGAAGTGGTTCTGCTCACCACACCTGAAAAAGGATATTGCAGAGTTGGAAAAGATTCAGAAAAGGACAACCCAAATGATCAAGATGCTGGAGGGATGTCACTATGAGAAAAGGTTGCAGAGTTCAGGAGTAGTTGCTGCAGAGCAAAGGCTAGCAAGAGTCAGCATGATAGAAATACAGACAACTCCCCATTTATGCATGTTCAAGGCACATGTGACTGCATGTGTGCATTGCTGTCACACGAAAAGGGACAAAAATGGCCCTAAAAGAGTGCATAAATGGCCAAAGTGGACAAAAATAGTGCCTAGCAATCCCATGAGCCTTTGCATTTCCAGAGGTTTAGAGGGTGTTTGCTGGGTTTTCAATGGAGTTCCCAATATTTGCAGTTTCACTTAAACACGTGGTACCTCAGAACATCACCACCACATAAATGGGGAGTTGCCTGTATAAAAAGCAATGCATCATATGGAGAAGGGGATAGATAAAATTCCTGTCCCCCCATTCCTAGCACTAGAACTCATGCATATCCAATGAAGCTGAATAAAGTACTTCTTCAGGCCATGTACACTTAAACTATGGAATTGGATGGCCCCCATTTGGATGCTCTGAAAGAGGATTGGACAGTTTCATGAAGGGGAGAGCTATCAATGGCTGCTTAGCCACATGGCTTTGTGTTACCTTCATGATCAGAGGCAGCAAAGCTTCTGAATACCAGTTGCTAGACGCCACAGGGAAGGAGGCAGCTGCTGTGCTTAGGCCTTGTTGCAGGTTTCCCATAGGCATCTGGTTGTCCACTGTGAGAGCAGGACGCTGGACCAGAAAGGGCCTTGGCCTGAGCTACCAGACTCTTCTGATGTACTCATGTTCCCAGCCACAAGCAGGACCTGAGCTCAATGGCACTCCTCCCACTCATTTCCCCCAGCAACTCAAATCACTTTTCAACCCCCCCCCCCGTCTATCTCCTGCTTTTGTGACCCTGCAGTATCAACTCCCTTGCTGTGTGAAATGTTTTAAACATGCTGTGTTAGCAGTCAGTCGGTATATGCCCTTCTGACCTTCTCTGCTGTCATGGCTCCATTAGCTTCACCCATAGCATTTGTCAGTTGATGCTGCCATGGCCTGTAGAGAGGGCAGAAGGAGCAAATCCATTCCCCCAGAGATGCATTGTGCTTTGTGTGATAAAAAACTTCAATCTGAGTCCATCAGGTCTTCTTGCAGAAACTGATGTGCAATGAGGAAAAGTAAGGCTATTAATAATACTGTAATAGATCAGGGGAAGGCAGATCAAAACCACCAGGTCCCCAGAAAGTCTCCTGCTCAAGCCCCATTTAGGAATATGGTCTCAAATAGTGCTCTGTGGACCACCAGTGGTCCATG